ATGTATATTAATGTTCATAGCAGTTGTATTTGCACAACCCAAATGTCAATAAACAGGTGAATGGATAACCAATAGCTTGTAACATCCCTGCAATAGTACTCTTCTAAAAAGAAATTAATACTGATACACATAGCCAGAAGGGTAAATCTCACAATAATTTTGTTAGGTGAAATATTTTATGCACAAAATCAGTATGTACTTCTTACATAATTCTGTTACATAAAATGCTCAGGAAAATGCAGATTGATTTGTATGGACAGAAAAATTAGTGTAATGGGCAGGATTTCATGTGAACATCAAGAAATGTGAGGGTGATATTTTATTATGGCAAGAGTTTCATAGAGACATAGCTATATCATTCAGTCTGCACAGATTGTGCACTTTAAATTGTGTGTCATTTATTACATGTCAATTTTATTCCAATATAGCTGCTAATTTTGAAAAATCCACTCAGTCTTGTGCACAAAAAAGAATACAGTCAAATTAGGTTCATATAATCATTACCCTTGATCATAAAATATAACTTCGGTTTTGTAGGAGAGAAATTTCTACTATTACTTACATACCTGTGTACTATCACTTGCCTTTTCAGTCCTTTGCCCATTTCCTTCTCTGTTCACAAAGCTTGGTTTTCATTTTATTCTTCCTTTCTCACTTTCTATTTCTCTTCCTTCCTTTTCCATCCCATACGTATTGCCCTTTCCTTTTGAATAATTTCTTCCTATTTCATAATATCTATTGTACCTTTATGTTCTAATGTACATTTTTAGGTTCTCATACAAGAGAGATAATGTGATATTTACATGTGTGCAATTTATTTGACTTATAATTATGGTTTCAAGGTCCATTTGTATAATTATAAATGTCTCAATTTTATCTTTATTTGTGGCTGAATAATACTCCACCATATAAAAAAATCCATCTGTTTTTAATCCATTTATTAGTTGATGGACACTTGGCTTGCTTCCAAGATTTAGCTATTACAAACTATGCTGCTATAAACATAGGTGCACATATATTGCTGTGGTACACTGCTTTTAATCCTTCTGGGACGATACCAAGCCTGGGAATAGGTGGGTCAATAAGACCATTAAGCCTAGTTCTTTGAGGAACCTTCACACTGATTTTCACAGTGGTTGTACCAGCCTATACTCCCACCAATAATAGATAGGTGTTTCTTTTTCTTTATACTCCCATTAACATTTATTATTAATTGCTTTGTTTTAATAGCCATTCTTTCTGGACTGAGATAAAATTTAAGTGTTGTTTTAATTTGCATTTCTTGAATGACCAGGAATGTTGAAATTTCTCATATATTTATTTGCCATTTATAATTCATCTGAGAAATGTCTATTCATGTCCAATGTCTATTTTTGGAATGGGTCTGATTTTTTTCCAGTTCTTTATATGGTTTAGATAATAGTCTCTTGTTTGAAGAAGAGCTGGAATAAACTTTTCCCACTCTGGGTTTTTTCACTCTCTTGGTGACTTTTGTTTGCTGTGGAAAAGATTCTCAATAAGATGAGATCCCAGTTGTTCATTCTATATGATTAGTTTCTATGTAATCGAGGTTTTGTTCATAAAATCTTTGCCTAAACCTATGTTTTCTACAATTCTATCTTTCAGCTTGAGACCATTATCTTTCATAGGAAGAAAGAAGAGTGACTCTTAAGGTCTTTTACAGGTAGATATATTTATAATCTTCTATCTTCTAAAACAGTTTAAGGAAATTCAGTTGTAGTAATTTAAAAGAAAACTTAACTTGAAATTTCTTAATAAAGTTTTACTAATTAGGAAACGAAAGTTCAAATGAGAGTTAATACTTAAACATTATTTGTAATATATAGTTTTTCCTGAAAACATATTATGTGTCAAATAATTAGAAGTGATCTAAAACAGCTTTTAAAGGATAAAGTTCACACACTATACAATGCGTTTATGAAAGTGTATAATTCATTTTTTAGAATATTCCTCAATATGTGCAACCATAACCGTGGTTGATTTTATAATGTTTTTATGCATCAAAAAGAAGGTTCACACTATTCAAATGGTACAGGATTTGTTGTGGAATTAGAGAATGCTAAAATAAACACAACCTTGTGAATATAATAAATGCCATTGAATAGTACACTCTAAAATTAGCATTGACTATTGAGTCGTATTTTACCACACATGCACTCTAGTTTTTACAGCCTATCACCCCATCTTTTTCCACCATCCCGAATCAACTATTGACTTATTTTCTCTATATATAGATTTCTCTATTCTGAATATTTGTCATGATCTATATTATATAATATGTGTACATTTATACTGGCTTTTCCTTACTGAGTGTAGTTTTATTCAAAATTTGTTCATATTGCATTGTATAGCAATGTTTTAAACATTTTTATGGAAATGACTATCCCATTCTATGAATATGTGATATTTATTTATTCATAGATTGAGTAATAGATATTTAGGTTTTTCCAACTTCTGCCTATTAAAACTCATATTGCAATGAAGATTCATGTACAGATTTTATGTGGATTCATATTTTTTTCTTTGTAATTTAGCAATGAACTAATACACCATATGGTAACTCCATACTTAACCATTTAAGAACTTGTTGGACTTAAATTGTTTTGGACTGTTCTACATTTCTGCTAGTAGTGCATAAATTTTCCAAAATTTGCCACATCCTCACCAAAACTTGTTATAAACTCATTTTTACAACCATCTTAGTAAGTATGAAGTGGTATCACATTCATTTGATTTTTATTTCTCTGGTGACAAGTGAGTCAAATTCCTCTCAATTTTTATATAGACTCTCACAGTCTATGGATTCTCAAAATTACGAACTTCTCAAGTACAGTTACTGGGCAGACGTGGAGAAAGAGTGCCACTTGTATAATTATAAATCATATTTAATCATGATAAATACTAGAAAATATACTTGTTCATTTATTGTTATCTATTATAATGAATCGCGCTGCAACATCAGATTTTTTTTGTATTACACAATTTTTAGTGGGAAGGAGTATCACAATTTCTATTAAAAAGCAACGTAAATTGTACTCTATCATTTCTGAAATCAGAGGAAAATTCTTTTGGTACAAGGGAGAAGTTACTAATTAGAATTTTTAAAACTCAATTGAATTGAACTAATATTGATACACCAGGAGGGGATCTGTGTAATGGAAAAATGAAAAGAGGACCAGATACTAAGCTGGAGGATCAGTCACTTGCAAGATAAGCAGTGGATGCTGAGAAAATGAAACACTGTTCAATCAGAATCAACAGTTATTTTGGCAGAGTATCAATTTATTACTTCCTATGCAGTTCAAATGTATAACAGATAAAGGCAGTCTGCTGCCAGGGGAGTAAATATACATTTGCCCAGTAGACTAAGCAGTGACCTGCTTAAGTGCAAAGACAACAATGAAAAATAAACAAATTAAGTACTATACCTTATTTCACCTTCTCTAATATGACCTGCCAGTTCTTCAATGAACTTTTCCCCTTTCATCCAGTAGATCATTGGCCCAGACTCCCCACTGAATCCAAAAAATGCTTTGCAAGGAATGTTCAGAGGCTTTCCTAGAATGAGAGACAAAGAATTAATCAAAATCCCACAGATGGGACATTTAACATCCAAAGGAAACTCAGCAGTGAACCATATTTGAACTATTTTCCAAATCATCATTATGCATGAAACATTTTAAAATAATAGTCAAAACTTTGGGGAAATTATAAAATCCAACCTATTATGAAAATGGCAAAATATTGACTGTCATTCACATTTTAAAGCTGTTTATTTTTACTGCTGTCCTTATAGAAATTCACATGAACAAATCCATTGTTATTTTCATTTTTTAAGAATATTAAGTATTGCTTATCTGGATTCACTTTTGAAGCTAACATTTATCAAAAGTATAACTTTTTTTCAGTATCAAGAATCAAACCAGGGACATTGTGATTGCTGGGCAGGGGCTTATATGGCTGAGCTATATCCCCAGCCTTAGGTACTTCTTGATGTGTGAGCATATATAGTAGACTACCCATCGTTAAGATTACAAAAGGAGAATTTTTTATTTTGACCAATAAGAAAAATTGAACAATACAAACAGTGATGGTTAAATAGAGATTGATTTGTTTAGATTAAGAAATATCAGGATAGCTGATACAACATTATTTCTGGGTATATATGATTGTGTTTTCAGAAGAAACTGAAATTTGAGATATTAGACTGAGTGAGCACCATCTAGTCTGCTGAGATGGAGTGGAAGAATAAACAATGGGAAAGAAAAATTTACATTCTGTCTGCTAAAGCTGAGAGACCCTTCTTTTCCCTTCATTGCACATTAGAGTTCCAAGGTTTTGGCTATTGAACTAGTGGCCAAAGCCCCTGTCCTCATCTCAGTAATAATTCCTTCCTTTGGAACCATTTCATCCCCTTTTCACAGTGTCTATTGTACCCTTCAGATTTTATTTACTCTTTTATCATCTGTTTGCTGACATTGATTTATTTTCTTTTTGGCAAGTAGATCAGTAAGGGAAGAATGGTATAGAGAGCGCAATTCTGACATTTTTGATATAGAAATCCACTACTCATAGATAACATTATATCATACAATTTTCTCCATAAAATTCATTTTTGATTTTGTAAGGGTACTAGATAAAGTAATTTTTACAATATTTTTTTCTTTTGAAGCTCATAGCAGACAAGTTCCATCATCATTCAGTTAGGGAAAAATTATCCATTCTATAGCTTTCTTTTGGGATTATTTCATACAAAAGCATTTATGGAAGTTAGGATTAATATTAATATAGAACAGAGATTAAGAAAACTTCATAGACACAAGGCTGCTGGGTGATAGAGTCATTGCCAATTATTAGCTTCATTTGAATAAAATGTATATTTCAGCAAAATTGCACCACATTTACCTTTGAATCATTTCATATTGTCAAATCCTTTGATGTCAGGTGTCTGTCCTTTATGTCTGATGCAAATCTGAAATAAGGTTATTCATTGTTGTTTTGAATATGTGCTTTCCATGTAATTGTATAAAAGTGACACAGTCTCATATTGTGAAAAGTATAATAGACTAAGTGCCAGGAATATTGCAACTCAGTTTTAGCTTTATCATGGTAAAACAGACGGGCCTTGGACAGATAACATAACTTTATGTTAACTGTTCATTCATATATGTAATGAGAATGATAATAATATGAGGTTTCCTCAAATAAGATAAGGCATGCAAAAATGTTTAGTGAATACAAAAGCCTCCCCGAAATTTACTGTAGTGTTGATTTCTTTTTTAATATTTTTGTTTCTAAAAAGAATGCAAAATAGGGCTGGGGAGATAGTTCAGTAGAATAAGAGCTTGCCTGGCAAGCACAGGGTCCTGAGTTCAACCCCCAGTACCACAATAAATAAATAAATAAATAAGAATACAAAATAGTAATAAAAATATTATAAATGATACAGAATTTCACTAAACAAAATAAAGAGTTCGACAGTATATGTTGTGCTGCATAGTGTTATCTTCAACTTCCTTATTCAGATAACCAGATATATGCATGTAACATTGGAAAAAGAAAGAAAATAATGTTGTGAGAAATGAAGAGAGAGGGTGGACCAAATAGCTCAGCAGATTAAAGTGCCTGGAAGCAGGCACCAGGGCAGGGGGTTCAATCCCCAGGCCTTCCACGGTGGCCCCACTCCCAGGGCATGCTGAGATAGCAATTGAGACTGGGCATGGTGGCGCATGCCTGTAATCCCAGCTTTTCTTGAGAGACTGTAAACAGGCGGATCACTATAAATGTGATGTAGTAGTGAGACCCTGAACACCCTGTAGACCCTTCCCTAAAAATACAAAAAAAGAAAGAAATTAAGAGAGAAAAAGGAAAAAAGAAAACAAAAAAATTAAGCATTAACTTCTTCCCATAGATCAGCAGAAAATCACAATACAGTTGTACAAACCATCCTGCATACATCCATAGATACATCTCTTTCCCCCATTCCTTCCCTTGTCCTTGTGCCCATCTCAGTAATTTCTTCCTTTTGAACATTTCATTCACTTTTCACAGTATCTATTGTACTTTTTCAGATTTTATTTACTCATTTAGGTTGTTAGACTAGGGAGACAATATGATGTTTGCACTTGCATGTCTGATTTATTTCACTTAAGAGTATGGTCACTAGATGCAGTCATTTACTGATAAAAGCTTCAAATTTATCCTTTTTATAACTGAATAATACTCCGTTGTGCAAAAATGCCACATCTTTATCCAGTGTTCAAACGATGGACATCTGGGTTGCTTACAGGATTTAGCTATGAAAAATTGCACTGCTATAAACATATATTGCCATGCTATGATTTTTTTTTCTTTTTTTTCGCAGAACTAGGGATTGAACTCAGACCCTTGAGCTTGCAAGAGAAGCGCTTATTCAACTGAGCTATCTCCCCAGTCCCAGAATGATGTTTTAAGTTCTGGAAAAATACTCAGGAAGGGAATAGTTGGGTTGAATGGGACCTTCAACCCTAGCTCTTTGAGAACTCTCAACACTGATTTGCATAGTAGTTGTATCAGTCTGCATTTCCTCCAACAGTGGAGAAGGGCTCCTTTTTCCTCACAGCCTCTCCAGCATTTGTTATTGGTTGACTTCTTGCTCTTAGTCATTCTTTATGTGGTGAGATAGTATATCAGTGTTGCTTTAATCCGCATTTCACAATGGACATGTAAGATAAATAGACACTTCTCAGATGAAGAAATACAAATGTCAAATATATGAAAAAAATGTTGAACATCATTGCTCATTTGAGAAATACAAATTAAAATAACACTTTTCTTTCTAAAGTTTGTTCCTTCAAGTATAAGTCAAACATGAGGCATAAATATAGACACTGATACAGATTCATGCTAATTTTGTCCCTTCACTCTCATATCCATCTTTTATATAGAAGCACCTATGCAATATATCCTCTTATCAATATTTTGCAACTGCATCCTATATTCTAGAGTACATGTGATTTACCCTAGATGGCCCTGAAGTCTCTAAACCTAAACTCATGGATTTTTCTATACCTTCCTATCTGTCATTCCCATGAAATTGAAGAAAACAACAAACAAGATAGAAGAAAATGCAAATTGTGGTAAATAAGGCATCTCAGTCTCAAAATGATTTATAAATATAAATTTTTATTTTTATTCCATGGGCTATGTTGGAAGACTACATCACACAAATAACCTTTCAGTGATTCCTAGTGAGGTGTTCAGACCTATTTTGAGTTTATTGGAGAATGGCATTACATCAGTGGGTGAATGAGGCTTCTTTAAGGTGATACATCAAAAGTGATAGTGCCTTCCCTTTTCTTGGCACTGCACACAAGGTACTAACTTGTAGTGATTTCTCCTGAGAGGAATGTTTTTACTACCCCATCAGATAGGTTCTTGTTAAATAAACACAAGACACAGCTATTTCAGCAATCTAGTTTGTATAAATGCTGACTAAATATCCTAAAGCTTTTTGTCAATTTCCAAACCACAGAACCATCCAAACATCACATGCAATACTCTAAAGATAATCCTGAGCAATCACGTCCTGTGTCAGATGGCGATATTCAATGTGTGACAGTGAGCAGGCATTTTCTCTTCCAAAATATACGAGAAAGATTGATGCATTGATTGGGAAAAATTTGAAACAGAATCTCCCCAGACTTTTCTAAAATACAGCCTTTGTGCTAAATCCTATCTTCTTTTAGTATGTTAGCTACTGTTTTATTTTGCCTCCAGACATCTTCGAAGTCATTCTGTTACTGTATGAATTATTAGTAGAGAAGGTCAACTTACGTTCACATCTAAATAGGTTAAAAACTGCCAAAATTGAAAGAACTTTGTAAGTTGGTGCAACACTGCTGAGAGGTAAGGCTTGCTGGAATGTGGCATACATGAGCCGAATGACTTTCCATTGTTTTAGTATCCTGCCAATTTCTTTTCTCTGAGAGCTCTGTGAAAATTCACATTTTGAGGTTTATTAAAATATTTTAACTTTGTCATTTTTTTTATTATTTTAGGGAAGGGTCTACAGGGTGTTCAGGATCTCACTACTAGATCATAGTGTTCCACCTGTTTACAGCCTCCCAAGGGCTGGGATTGTAGGCGTGTGCCACCATGCCCAGTCTCAATTGCCATCTCAGCACATCCTGGGTGTGGGGCTGGCATGGCAGGCCTGGAGATTAAAATCATGGCCCCTGTGCCTGCTTGCAGGTGCTTTAATTCGCTGAGCTATTTGGCCAACCCTATTTTTTTAATTTTTAAAGCAAATTAAAATAAGCAAAAATAACATTATAAAGGATACAGAATTTCACTACCAAAAATGATAGGAATGCCTCAGTGGTTGTTATATTGCACATTGTCTTTAAATTAATTGTTCAGATTGCCAGATTTTGCATGCCAAATTATTCAAAAAAAAGAAAAGAAAAATAGGCATTAACTATTCCTTTCAATAGGACAGTAGAATTCAGTAGTACAATTACCAACACATCCTGTGTCCATACACGCATATTTTGTTCCCTTCCTTTTTTCTTTCTTTG